TGCCGCTTAGCTACGTATTAATCTCCTCAGCAGACTCCTTGTTAGGGTTCCACCACTTAAACCGCAGTGCTCCTCAGAACTCTACTCAGCTGAGTCTTCTCACTTTCCCTTTTTAATTATACCCACTGATTCAGTTATAAGCAGTACCACTTATGTGCTGACACGTCCAAGTTCATCTCTCTAGTCATGGCTACTTACTTAGCTCTAGACCTGTATTTTCCAATCACCTACTGGTTATCTTCCTTCAGGGATTCCATACGTACAGAGAAAGTCAACATTCCCCAGATTTCCCACCCCTACCCTTCTCCATTCGGCTGCTCTTTCTGTTCTATGCATCAATAAATGACACCATGAGAAACCTGGGATTCACCGAGTCCTGTCACTTCTACCTTATAAATGTCCTCATTTTATATCTTCCCTTTGCATCCCTCTGGCATCCCTGCATTAGTCTGTAGACCCTTCCTGGACTTCTGCCGAGGGTTTCCATTGCATCTCCCAACCTTAGGTCACGCCCCACTCCAATCCACCCTCCACACTTCAGAGGCATCTTCCTGAAGCATGAGTCTGTTCTCCTGTGGACATCCTTTCCTGGGTCTCTGCAGCCTTGGGGACTAAAATTGAACTTTTCAGCAAGCTACTAAAAATAGTTTTCATAATCTGATCACCACCTATGACCTCAATATCAACTCTTATCACCTCCTCACGCCTCCTCCTGACTCCAGCCATTTTAAGCGACGTGAAAATCCATAACCCCATTTATTTTCCCGTGTCTTATTCTCCTACACGCTGCCTTTCTGTGTGGAACACACGCCACAGACGTGTAACTCCCGCTTTCACTGACCTAATTTCTATGGAATACTTCAGTACTCTGCACTCTCGATATTCTCTGTATACTTCCTCTTTCGAAGCACTTATGATCCTACATTGTGATTCTTTCTACACTTGTTGGTTTAAACAGTAAATGCTTTGACATTTAGGACTGTGATTCTGTGCTCTGTTTTTCCATACATATGGGACAGCAGCTAGTCAATAACAAGTGACTGTCACAAAAACAAACACTTCACCCAATATTTGTGGTGTTCAGTAGGAGTCAAACATCCATCCAACCAACCAACCAAAACCACACGGGGAGAGACAAAAAGGAAGTACTTGTGCACTTTATAAACATAAATTAGGGAGACAATACAGGGGACAGCGAGTCACAGAGAAAGCCACGGGGGACACAGACCACTAGCTACCCAACTGGATGCTCAGGAAAAGTTTTAGGGGGAAGATAAGACTCACACTATGTGTAAGGACAAAAGAAGCCTGCAGCAGAACTAACCACAGTGAACATCTCTATGCTAAGTTTCATGAGGTCAGGGAGAGAGTTGGTGGTGTTCACTGCTCTGTTCTTAAAGCTAAACACTTGACTGGATCATGGTAGCCACTAAATAAGTATTTCTGTTGAACTGAATTTGAAACTTTGCAGCTGGTAAAGCAAACATCTGGGTGTTTGCTTGTTTGTTTATTTGGTTTTTTTAGAGGCAGTACTTTCCTCCATTCACCATGCCATCAAAAGGTAATTTGTGTTCATATTTACTAGAACTCTTTCCTCAAAAGTGAAACACTGCTTCACTCTTTGGATGGCAAATGTGTTGTTTCAAGACGGAGAAGAATCTGCTTCAAATGAAGTGAAAGCTATTTCAGTACAGAATCCTCAGAGCCAATTTTGGAGCTGAAAAGGCACTTTTCATCAAGAATCTTAACAAAAAGATTCCTGCCAGTTTAACCAAGACATCTAAAAATATGTCATTCTAAAGCCAAGCTTTCTGCTCCGGAGCATTCTAATTGACATCACGTTCTTCCAAAGACGTTCCATTGAGCCAACCTGAGTCACGTGTCTGAGTCAGACGCCATTATCACCCTCCTGAGTAAGGATCAGGACTGCACATCATTTAGGTTTTCTGCATTTTCCTTAGTCTGTGCCGATTTTCCAAGTTTTTCTAGACTTTCTTTGTACCCAACAGAGCGATTACATAATAAACCAAACCAGAGACACGTGTTACTTTGAGTTGGAAATCAACTTAGCATGTCTCCTTCTCATTTCAAACATAAGGGAACCGAAACGTAATGATGTACATTACTGACCCGGCCTCACTTAGGGAAGCTGCTGGAGTGGACATTGAGTCTCTTGAGTGACAGCTTGGTGCTCAGTCTTCTACACAGGCTACGTTCATATAACACTGATTCCCTCCACGTGCATCATTTCGTTAACTCTGGTGGTCACCTGAGAAAGGTAAAACGGGACTACTGTTCCCTTTTACCAGGTGAGTCATTCCCTCAAGGTGACAGAACAGCAGCAGCAAGGCTAACGTCCCAGACTCCTGACTCAGTTCAGGGTTTTTCTAGCACTGTTTTCTGCCAGGATCACCTCACTGATACCAGCCTTTTTCTTTTGGTACAAATGCATCGACAACAGTTTAAATGGTCTGATGCCTACCATTCTTCAAAGGAAGGTTTGCCATAATAAAAGAAAGTTACAATGACCAGAGGCTACAGGCTACAAAGAAGAATAAGGCAGAAACGGATATGTTAATCAATGTTGAGGTTTCACTTAAAGACTCCATCAACCGTTCTTTCAGAACCGAATCAAATCAAAATATCTTACTCCTTTTAGACCTGCACATGAGGGCAAGAGGCCACAAACACCTTGCTTTATTTAGACCCCAGTGATGGAATTTCCCATCTGTTGCTTCAAATCAAATAACCATATTTAAATAAAACAGCATACATCACGAAATTTTTCTTTCAAAGATTAATTTAAAGTCCCTAAGGCTGCTAGCTGAAATGAGTGTACTTGACGAGTCAGAATGTGTCTGGACAAGTCCACGTGCATTGGCATGAGGCTGAGAAGGGAATCTGGATTTTAAACACTTGCTTCTAATCATGAAGGCTGAACTGCTGTCCCATTTACAACCCGACATTTGTTTTTACACTTTCCACATCCCATGACTTTTCAGCAACAGTAAATAACTTTAAGAGATGACACCTCACTTTAGCTGGGTCTATATTTTGACTAGCAGGTCTTGGCACTGTGTTCAATTCAGATACCTCTCCAAAATGCTGCATACGGGTTAAAAAAAAGTGAACAAAACGTAACAAGAAAAAAAATCCCGTTCTAAACAATTTGGAATGTAATACATCTAAGTTCTTAGTTAATGTATTGCAGCAACTTCTAATCATTCATCATTGTCTCTGGATTCTAAATATTTCTTAATTTTTCCCTAAAGCCCATGTTTGTGACACTGTAAAGGGAGAGGTGGTAAAATGAAATTGGGAGGAGAAAGGAGCATAAATAAATCAAAATGCAAAAGAGAGGATCCTAATTCAATCACACTGAAACACACTCAGCCACACCGAACAACACAACTTAGACTCAAGTACCTGGGATTTAGGAGGTATTGACATTAGGACATTTAAAAAAAATTTTATGGTAAAACTCAAAATATACACTGATGAAAAAACTCTAAAATCCCACAGGGGTGGATATTTGTATAGCTGAGAAATTAGTTTCCTAAAAAAGAAGTATTCTCTACCCACATAAGATTTTCAAAATGTGTGGGAAATCTGAGGTTCCAAATCACCCAATATTGCCTTTATTCTGTATCCTACATGGTAAAACTTACCCAGTAATTAGAAAAAAAAGAATATACAAGTCATTAAAACATTCCTGAAATAGCCGAATATTGCCTGCAGCAGTTATAAGATGCTTCAGAATCTTTTGGACATTGTACAGGGGCACGAGGCTGGTTATCTGAGCCTCCTCTTCATTTGCATTCTGGGAATACAAAAACGCGTGTGATGTTGAGAGCAAACCCACTGCAGGGCGCTTGGGCTCGAGTTAGGAAGTGTCTCATCTTTAAAGTCCTGATGGCTGGCTTCGATGTGTTTTGCTTTAGACCTTAAGCACAACCTCTTGTTTAATAGCGCATTCCATTTCTAGGCAGAACCATGCCACAACAAAATCTTCTGAGGAAAGTGCTTTGTGGCAGCGGAATTGAAAGTAACACTGTAATGTCACACTCAAATGTGGCCTTTCTAGAAAAACTTTTCCAAAGGGGTAAACTTCAAAACAAAAATTAGAAAAGTCACAAGTGGGGGTGTATCTGGGACACCCGTCTTTGTCTTGTACGTCTGCAGTGCCCCAACATGGGCAGCAGGGGGCGCACCTGCATGGAGCTATCCCCCACAAGTGTTTCCCAGTTGGGGACACCGAGGCTTTTCTTCTTTTTTTTTTTTTTAAAAAAAAAAGCACTTGCCTGAAGTCCAGGGAGGTAGGCACTAAGGAGTGCTGCTACCCACAAATTATACAAGCCTAGGACAGAAGGTGAATAACAATGCACAAATAATCAGAGAGGATACGTGAGTCTGAGCCTGGCTTCCGAAAACGAGGGTGGCAAATTTTTATTTTACTATTTTGGTGGTAGGGGGCTTAAAGGAGCTGGGTGGGGAGCTTCTCCTCAGGAGTAAAAAGGACATCTCTGAAAGCAACAAGTGGACCTGAGTACTCCCTGGGGCATTTATTCAGCCTCTTTTCAAAGGTTCAGTCTGCAGGTAGTATTCTCTTTTAAATGTTAAATCAAAACCCCCTTCTCTTCACTTGACACCACCCTAAGCCCAGAATATCACTTGATGAACCTGATTTCCAATTGAACCTCGGGAAATGTGGCTTCTGCAGGGGGTCTCCTGCATGTGGCTGTGTTTTGCATGTGAATGAATGATGTGTTTTACTCGCTTTATGCCAAGTCCCAAGTGTTTGAACCAAGCTGGGAAAATCCTTAGGGACTAGAAAGAGCAGACTCCACAGACACAGTGAATTCCAAACAAAAAAATCCCCTGCTTTTGCCCCCACTGTATACACACACTCACACATACTCCACCCCCACTGCCTGGCTCCTTTCTCCTCCCCATCCCCGATGGAGATCTGTGGACACACGGCCAGAAACCTCAGTACTCACCATATTTACTTCAGAAACCATATCGATGCTGGCGATGTCGATATTCATTCCCACAGCCACAGGGGGACCTGCAAACCAAAATGGCCAGCCATGTGATTTCTCAGAACTTCATTCATTCTTAGCAAGAGTTGTGCCCCGGGAATGGGACACTCTGCTCCAAGTCCCTCCCCACTGCTCGCCCTCAAATTCTTCCAGTCCATGCTCCCTTTTAAAAAGGGTGCAGGAGCTCCTCGAGGCAATGCTCTCCTGAACATGCACACACGTGCCCTGATGGGTGAGGGGTTTCAGCCCTGTCTGCGTATGTAGATGTCTCAGCAGGAGAACACACACAACTCACAAAAGCACAAGAACATTCTAGCCCAGGGGAATTTTATATGTTGCATTGGAACCTTCCTCCTCATTCACTCCCACAGCTTCTGTGTGCAGGCTTTTAACTCTCTGAGCTTCATAAGACTCTGAAGCAAAACTGAATGGGCATATCAGGGTTTCTGACGCTGCAGCAAGAGAGGCCCCTGGCCCTTCACCCCACTCTGCTCCAAGCCCCTCGATCCTCCCCTCCCCCCACTCTACTACCCCGTGCAATGAGGCTTCAGGGCTGGAAAATATCCAGACACCAGCCACTTTAAACTGTGGTCAGAACTCTTCCAAAGTAGGTGGGCACAGGGGGTTAATGTCACTTTTCAACCGATCAGTCTGCACATCTCGTCCTCAAAACTGTTCGTGACAGCCTTCATTAAGCCAGGTTCTGTGGGTACACCATTAACTAAATTTAAGAGATTTGTATCTGAACAAGGCAAAGACAGTGAAGCAGTGGATTTGTAACAGTGAAGCCAAAGGGCAGTTATCCCCAGTGCCCACTAAGAGGGTCTTTAAATAGCCACGGAAAGATCATCTAAGTGCTAGTAACAAATCGGCTGAAGTTTGGGTCAGTTTCTCAATGTGGTGACACACACACATTCAATACAGCACATTCACCCCGATGAGGGAGAGGGAAGAGACAATGAACACGGAGCTCAAAAGACAGCTTAGGCGATAGCTGGGTTGTTTCTGATTTTCCAAGGCAACCCTATTACCTCCAAAATCTGGTCTCAGACGAATGTCATAGCCTTTCAGGAGTCTATCCACCGTCTCTTTGACCAGCGACATATTACTAGGATCATTGACACTAAAGAGAGAAAAGACAATAAACAGGCATCAGTAAGGCAGCAGGCACCGCGTCTCCGGCATCCATCTGATCCTCACTACAGATCCCGGTTTACAGAGGTAGGCAGGCTGAGCCCTTCAAAGTGAGAAGGGAAACAGAGAAAAGGTGGGCACACTTACCTCTGCGCACAGACAGCGGCGATGATCAAGGGAAACGACCAGATCCCAAGGCAGCCCTTTTTCCGGACTCTCCACATCCCTTTAGTTTTTGATGGGATTGAGGGTTTCACTGGAGAGAGGAGATCCAACTTAGTCTGCCCAGTGCGGTAATTCTAATGGGACGCGCATGCGCACGGCGTACCAAAACATCAAAGGGGCAGCAGCGACTGCCTGGGACCTAGCAGATTTTCTTGCTAAGAAAAAAATAAATAAATAAAAATAAAATTAAAGGGGAAAAGGGAAACACACACATGTGTATAAAACGTACATATTTGAGTGCTGTAAAAACAGTCACCCCACAAGAAGAGCCAGAGTAAAAATGTTTGTTGTCCTTTCCTTTGGACAAAAACAACCGGAGTGGCTGGTAAGTTTCGGTAGTTGCGGGAGGCAGTACTGCACCTCCCGGGCCTTGGTGTGTGTGTGTGTGTGTGTGTGTGTGTGTGCCCTTTTAAATATGCAAAACCAGAAATTGAGGGGACGGCAGGTGTGGCGTGCGAGCGGAAGATGGTGCCTGGGAGACCACTTCTGGTCTCAGCAAGCAGATGGGGAGAAGAGTTTGAACTTTATTTCCTCGGAGAACAGCATCCCCAGCCTGGGCTGAGCGGGCGCGGGCGGTGGGGGTTGTGCGGTGGGGGGAGGGGGGAAATGAACCAATGGGCGGAGTGCTGAGCAATCCGCTGGATGTGGGGCTCGGTGGAGAATAAGAAAGACACCCCCAAAATTGTAAAGGAAGACAGAAAAAGACAAGAGGAATAAAATGCTGCCTGGTCTCTTCTCGGAGTCAAGGAGCAAGCTTTTCTTCACTACTCACGGGCGATTTCTTTCTCCTGCTCCTCTCCCTTTGCCCCCTATTCCCCCGAGAAGAACAAACACCTCGGGGTCCCGGTTTCTCGCCGTGTGACGCGCCTGACCCGCTAGTCCGGATTATTTATAGCAGAAGGAGGGGGTGGCGAGGGGAGCAGAAAGACGCCGACGCCTCTCCAGCTTTCGGTCTGCTTCTGCAGTGGGAAATTGATAACTAGGGGAGGGTGGGGTTTGAAGCGGGGTGATGGGATGTGGGAGGAGTTGGGGTGCAGGAGGCCAGTGCCCTAACGTGAGTGCCAGGGGCGCGAGGGCTCGGGCGGCCGCAAGGCGCAGGGAGGGCAGGTGGTGGAGCGGAACGCGCCGGCGGCCCCCACGCCCTCTCAGGGGCGCACGTGCGGCTACACTCGCCCGCACCCACCCCTCCTTACCTCGCGGGCCTGCGCTCGCCGCCCACCGCTGCTGCGGGCGGGGCTGGCGCCCCCGGTGTCAGCCCCAGCCGGGAGGGACACCCGGCTGTTGGGGGCTGCGCCTCGGGGCTCCAAAAGCCAAGAGCGGTCCTTAGAATGCAGGCAAAATGAGGAACGGGTTCAGGCACCGCCCCAGAAACCGCGTTCTCCCGTGGTCTCCACGCCACCTCGTCTTCTCTCCCTTTCCCGGGGCCAGGGGCGGCTCACACACCCCAAAGCTGCCTCTTTCCTCCCGCCTGAGGCAGGATCGGGCAGGCTGAGGCCACCAAGACCCAGAGGAAACCGAGAGTGTGCTCGGGGCTGGGAAGGGAGGGAGGTAATTCGTGGGAGAAGTCTTTTCGCAGCCCGAGGTAGAGACGTGCTGCGGGTGCCCCGAGATGCCTCCGGGACGAACGGCTCTCCAGGCACTCCCGAGTTTATCTTGGAACTGGGTGGGGGGTGGAGGGGGTGGGGGGCAGATGCTCCTGCTACGCTCCCTGCCTCCTACTCCTTGAAAAGTCTGAGGTCTAACCTACATTCTGGACCCAAAGCTTAACTTCTAACTCCTCCTCCTTTTGATTATCCTTACCATTAATTGAGCGCCTACTACGTGAAAGGAGTGCTTAATTAATTAATTCCTACAACAATCCTAGTTCAGCCATCACCTCAATTTCCCTATATTGTGGATTTAAAAACTGGCACGTTGAAGCAAAGGAACTTGCCCAAGGTCAACTGGTGTTTACAAATGGAACCAAGACTGAACGCCAATGCCTGGTTTCCTAACCACTGGGCTACACAGCCTTGACTGCCAGGTCCCTGGCCGGCAGACTGGAAGCTGGTCTCTAAGGTGGAGCCCTCCGTGGCTGCAAGAGAAACAGGGGCGCGCTCTGCACCAGGGTAGCCCGCTGAAGTCTGGAGAGAGAAGGGGACGCCTGCGCCCGGGATAGGCGGCAGTGGGCTGGGGTTGCTTGGCAGGCTAGCAGTTCTGCAACCGCGGGGACTCCTTGGGTCCTGGTCGGGGCTGTACGTGTCCCACTTACTTCTTGACCACACGACTCCATGCTTAGGTCAGGGGCTAACTCCGGGCAGAGCGGGAAGGACTTCAAGAGAAGTGTGGAGGGCTGTGAGGCGGGAAGCCTGCAGCTCCCAGGGGCTGGAGAGAGCAGGAAGGGGAGACATGTGTGCCTTCACTGGCTAAAGGAGCGTCTGCATGAGGGACAGGTAAAAACAGCACCGTAAACAGTGCGCATCTCCAGCCCAGTGCTCTTCAGGGTTGCAAGGCACATAGGAGTCTATCCTACATACTCATGTGAACACACACACACACGCACACGCACACAGGAGGGGTAAGAATTGAAATCTGTAGCTCTCCTGTCTGTAATCCTTTAATTACTTGGGTTGAAAAATACAGAAATCAAAATGTATACCAAAGGCCGAGGAAAATTGCCAATTTTTCATTCCCCCTCTTATACACAATGGAAATCTGTTGGCTATCCTGAGGAAAAACCACATTCAGATGGTTAACGTTATACCCAGAGGGCTCGTTTCCTAAGTAGTCCGAACTCTAGGTAAACTCAGGTAAAGCCCTGGAGATCTCTTCCTCTGGACTACACCTCAAATGGGATCTTCCTTCTGACTGGTAGGTAGTTATCTGAGGCACCGCCTGCACTGCCCGCCCCTCCCTACTTAGGCCCACTTCAGTTTAGGTTGAAGGACCAAAATTCAGTAAAGAGAACAAAACCACAAATGCTGTCGTCCACTGAAAGTAATAATGGTGGCGGCCCAGGAACTAGAGGCCTCACTCTGACCTCGCATGGCAGTTTAAATACTCAGTAACCTTTGTGACTTGGGCAGGTCACTTACCCTCCCCAAACCTTAGTTTCCTCTTCTTTCAAAATGAAAATAATCATAGCACCTTCTCCATTTGATGGTTGTAGGATGACAGATATTCATGGCATTTGGCATGTGATTAACAAATATTAGCATGTTTAAATGCAGGAGGCATAACGAATGGACAGGAAAGCAAACAAGGCTTAGTCACATTAATCTATAAAGAGTGAGCGGACATAAATTTGGTACAATTACCACAGATTAGCCTGAGAAGAGAGGAGCATCAAGGAAATTAAGGTAAGGTTAAGGAGAAAATGTATTCAAAACCCAGGCAGCAATCAAATGAGAAAAGATAAAAGATTATGTATTTTCTTTATGTGTAACATCTCAAGGATATCTCTTACCAATAACTGAAACTGATGTGATTAAAGGGAGATTCCTACTAGTTTTGAAACCCCATGTCGACTTATACCTGCAGCTGTACAGCAGAATCAACACCAGGACATCTCTCTGGAAGACTGCTGATCACGCTGCTAGGAATGTGAAAATGTGAGCACAAATGTGCAAGAGAGGGCACTGCTGGAAACTGGAGATGTGTCAATTGTCAGCATCCTCCACAGTCCCAGAAATACAATGAGAAGCCACATTGTAGGCACTTTTAAGAGATCATGACTCAAAATCATCTCTGAGTGTGAAGCATATGAATGCCAAGTAAAAGCCACCACTAGCCATGTGCTATTAATCTTTGCTCTAGTATTCATTCATTCATTCATTCATTCATTCATTCATTCATTCATAAAATGTATGTTGGGCACTCACTCTATGTCAGACATTTTTATAAGCACTTGGATGATGTGTTGAAAAGGCAGATGTGGTCCCGCTCCACCTGCAGCTTGCACCGCAGAGTGGGAAAGAGCCATTGCAGGAGTAATAACAGACATAGCGTGCATTGTCAAATGGGGACAACTGTCAAATGGGGAATCCATAATTGGTGCAAATAACTCAGTTTGAGGATTTGGATGAAGCTTGCCCTATGAAGGTATTCTTCTATTAAGATTTGAAGGACCGGTAAGCCTGATGAAAAGCTGTGTGAAGAAGACCACAAGAAGAAGAAATAAGTATATGCAGATATCCTGGGCCCAAAGAGGATGATGGACTGAAGAATGAAGGAGAGCAGTAGACTAGGAGACAAGGATAAGAGAAGCTTTACGAAGGATGTGGTTGGAAAGCTGAGCAGCAGTAGTTTGGGGTCATTAATGTGCTGGGGAAGAGGAGTGCCAAGATGAGTTTTAATCACCCTGAGGAAGAGGTAGTGGCTGGAGGGCGTCTGGAATCCTCAGGAATCCAGGTGAGAGGTGACTGTGTTCTGAATTAGGACGGTGGCCGTGAGGCTGGAGAGCAGTGGCTGAAGTTATGTGGGAGAACTGTGGCCAAACTCTGTGACAGATGGGATGGGGAATGAGTGGGAAAAATTCAAGGATGACTCATACATTCCTGGTGTGCACAGCCAGTGGAGGTGGCAGAACAAAGTCGATGGGGATGACACACTGAGTTTGGGTCACGGTAACTTTAAGGTACTTATCTAGGCTGGCCATTCGGGGTGCACTTGACATTCTGGCGTAGGCACCTGAAGCTCAGAACCCAGGGGTGAGTTGGGGCCAATGCACACTTTTCATGTTCCGTCCGGATACTTTATTTCTCTTATCTGCTTTAATTTTTCTCTTTGGAATGCATTACTATTTAATGCATTTTATTTTACCCATCGTAATGCTATTATCTTCTTGCACGGAATGAAAGCTCAAAATAAAACAGAGATTCTCATCTGCTTGGCTGACTGCTGTCTTCCAGTTTCTTGTGCCCAAAGTAGAAACCTAATATATATGTTTTAATGAATGAGTGCAGACTGGAGGATTCTGAGGCTGTGAAGAACTGAAATAATGGGAGCATATCAGACGTATCCAGGGAGGAAGAACAGAATAAGAATGAGTGTAGACTGGAGGATTTGGAAGAGCACCTTCTGGTGAAGGACGATGATGACCATCAGGAAGAGTCAAATCAGGACTGGCCCACCGGTGGGAGGAAGACTCCCATGGTGTAATCAAAGCGAAGGCAGG